ATCCGCACACCTCTCCTCTTCGTCGTCCTCGTCTCCCATGGCGTCGTCGATGGCATCGTTCATCATCTCCTCCTTCATGTCCATGATCTCCGCCTGCCTCTCAAACTCCATCATAATCTTCTGGATCTGGGGCAGCTTCAGCTGCAAGGCGGGAGAATGAGTGTGGTCCCTGAGGTTGGGCGTTAGGGAAGGGTATGGGAGAGACGCACCTGTCTGTTCATGGTGCCCATGGCCTTGGTGACGCCCTTCATGGCTTGCGCCATTGAGTTGTTAGACTTGAGTGTCTGGATCTTGAGGGATACAGCCTGGATGTTGGCCCGCATCAGCACAAACTTGCGCACGTAGCGCCGTGTACGCACCAGGTCCTTTGCCATGATTCGCACAGCATCCTGAGGGGACAAAGGTGGCAGGGAAACGCCATTCCCGCAGAGAACTTCAGAGACCTCTGTGTGGCTAAACCCAGTGCCCAGTGCTCTTTCCAGCCACTCCACAGGCTCCAAGCTGCTCACTTCTCTGACTGTTGTCTTGAGTCCCTCCTCTGATGACACCCATTCCTGAATTTCCATCCTGGCCAAAGAATATACCTTTCCCCCTCCACCTCACCACAGGCCTGACAGCCTTAAACATACCCAAACCTCAGCTGTTGACTCCCCAAACCTCTTCCTGGCCATGCCTATCCCAGGAAATGGCACCACCCACCTCAACCCAGCTGCTTAGGCCCAAACTCATCACCCACCCCAGGTTGTGCTCACTACTGGTTCAGGCAGGCTCTCTCCTCAGCCCAGACGTCGGTGTACTCCAGGCGGTGTCTCCTGCAGTAAAGGCTTCACCTCCCCTTCCTCTGAGCTCACCTATCACTTCTCTAACATTTTCTCCCTGCGTCTCCACTAGCTTCATTCCTCAAGGTTTACCTCTGATATCACCTGGGAGGCAGCCTTTATGGAACCCCAGACTAGGGGGGCCCTGCTCACCCTTTATCCCATTTTCCTCAGAGCACCTATGTGTTGGTGTCCTGTCGGTGCTGCTTGCTGCTCTCATAGCAGTGCCTGACCACGTAATAGCACCTAGCCCTGTGTCCCTGTGTCCCAGCCCCGGCCCAACTGAGCTCACCATCTGGCCCTGCTTGGCCATTTTCTTGATGTCTGCGATGATTTTCTTCTCCTGGGTCTCTAGCTTCTGCCGCTCACGGTCCAGTTCTCGCATGGCGCGGTTCAGGGCCCGTTGGTTCTGCCGCAGCAGCTCCTCTGGCGTTTTACGGCGCCCGAACAATAGGTCCATGGCGGCAGGAGCCCGCCGGTGGGCCTGGGACAACTGCGAAGCCTAGCTGCGGGTCGGCATGGGGCCCAGGAAGGTGGCAAGAGGCAGCATGTGTGGAGGGGCGGGACAGGCGAGGGTGTGAAAAACGGGAAGGGGTGAACAGGGAAAGGCGTGAGTGCAGCCCGAAATATCGGGATAGCCCCAGGGACACAGTGGGGACAGCCAGGCCTGAAAGCTATTTCAACGCTCCCACACCAGCCCCATCTCCTTCGTGCCCCACGGAGGCTCAAGGCTTCGGACTCCCTCTCCAGACGGGGGTGACGCCCTGTTGTCTCTGATGGACTGGAGGTGGATGGTTGGGGTCCACTGGGGCACTTGGGACCTTGAGCGCCACAGACAGGGCAGTAGTGGGGGTTCTTTACAGGAGAGCAAAATACGTGGAGGCCCTGAGTTCCAAGTTGACAGTGTATGGACGGCATTCGGATCGGGGGACCCTGAACGCTGAGGGAACCTGGGTACGGCGCCGTCGGGGACCCCCTGTTCACCGACGGGAGGATGGGCGGCGGGGCGCTTGTCCACCCAGGCCAGGGTCTGAGGGTGGTGGGGGTCCTGCGCTCCGAGAGCAAAGCTGCGACGGGGACCCTGACAGTGAGGCCAGAATCCCGGGAAGGGCGAGGCTCCCCTCGTACCTGGCTGCCCACGCGCCCACCGGAACCCGAGGCCTGGCAGGGTCCACTCACCGAAGCTGGGACGGGGGCCCGTTTCCGCTTCCGGGTTACGAGCTACTCGCTCGGATCCCGGCGCACCCACCGACGACTGCCCCTTGGTTTTTTCGCCTTTGCCGTCGCCGCCGTTTCCGGATTAAACGGCCTGACGTCACAGGCCCCGCCTGCACCCGGAACCCGGGGAGGTGGTGAGAACGCACATACGCATGCGCCCTGCAGCTGGCCGGAGCCTAGGCACATGCGCAGTAGTACCCGGTTGCCCTCGGCAGTCCTGGCGATGCGCACAGGTCCCAGTCCCGCCCCAGGGAACCCGGAGGTCCTACATCCCACCACTTCACACACTGGATGGCCCAGTTCATTCAAGGGGCTCTGACTTCTCCCTTATGTTCACATGTCTCAGGCACCTGGTAGCATCAGGCTGGGTTCTCCACTGGCCTACCCGTGGCAAAAGGGGGTGTCCGTGTGGATCTTCCCCTAAACTGGTTTGCCAGCCAGAAAGCCACTGGTAACTGGATCCCACTCCTTCCTCACCAAGAGTGGAATTGTCCCACCCAGCTTCCAGCCCTGGGCACCCTGCTGAGGGGTACCCCAGTACCACCTGGGACCACACTCTTGTCACAGAAGCCCTGGTGGACATTACCAGCCCCTCCCACTCCACAGAAGGAAGAGGCGAAGGCCATGCAGTAACATTCCCCTTTAATAGCCTGGTGGGACCTCCAGTGGTGGAGGAATACGGTGGCGGGGCCCCAGCCACCCATTCCCCGTGGCCACCCACCCCAGAGCCCAGAGTGGGAGGCTGGACAGCACCCAGCAGGGGGCTAGACAAGCCAATTCATTTCCCATTGCTGAGCGGGTCGGGAGGAGGCAGCGCCGACCTAATCACATGGTGGTTAAAAAAAAAATATCTAGGAGCTGGTGGCAGGAAGGGGAGGCAAGGCTAGGGCATAGGATTACCCCACCTGCTGCCCCAATCCCCCCACCTGTGGCCCCCAATAAATATTTGCAGGGGACGCCAGGGCCGTGGCCCTGGCAGGGGTGGGTGCGCGCTGACCCTATTTCAGGCAGCGCTCAAAGTAGGTGGAGCCGATGTAGCCGCCCCGCATGGAGCGCTGTACGTTCTGCTCAAACAGCCGTCGGTTGTTCTGCAGGACTTCAGCAGCTTCCTTGTTCAGTGGGTCTTCAGGATTGGGCTCCTGTGGCCAGTACGGGTGGGGGTCAACAGGCCCCAGGGTCAGAGGGGCCAACCTCTCCAAGCCTTACCCACCCACCCCTACTCACCAAGAAGAGATACTGCAGGCCATAAATTATGGAGTTTATCGTTAGGACTGGCTTCCAGTCCTCTCTGTGGGTAGAGAGCATCAGGTTTAGGGGATGGTAGGTGGGTGGCTCCCACAGGCTCTGCTGGGACTGGACAGGTCAGGCCCAGGACAGTGGATGTGAGGCCAGGGGGAGGGTACAGAGCAGCACAGGCCAGGGAGAAAGCCAAGGTCAAGCCATGAGGAAGGACACGTAGAAATGAAGAGACACAGGAACACAGACCACAGGGGGAGGAAAGGGATGGACACTGGTTGAGTGCAAGGCCATGAAGGGGCCTGGCAGGCAGGGCTTGGGAAAGCAGTGGAGGGCCAGTGCCTTCACCTGAGGATGTTGAGGCAGACGTTGCCCTCGAGGTCAATGTTGGGATGATAGACCATCGTCTCACACTTCACCTTGGGGGGGTCATGCGGGTAACCCTGGCCCACCTGGCTCCGGGAAAAGAGGGGAGGTGGATAGGTGCCCCAGCAGTGCTTGGCTGGGTCCTCAACTGTTGCTTACTCAGCCCAGGGATCCCTGCCCACCTGGCACTCACCTTAAAACTGAACACAAACTTCCCACTCTTGTAGAAGCCCTGTGAGGGGAGAGAAGAGGAAGGCCTTAGGCTCCCATCCTGTGGAGGATCTCCGCAGGTCTCCTCAAGATGGGGCCACAGCCTAGCCAGTGCCCAGGAGTCCAGCTGAGTGTACCCTCACCTCATCAGGACAGATAACCAGCTTGAAGTTGAGGAGGTCGTCCGGGTCTGAGAAACTGATGTCACACGTCTTGGGCAGGTTAAGCTCGTTTATGTCTGGTTTTGCACAGCAAAGGGGAACAAAGAGAGGTAAGGTGTAGGAGAGGAGGGGGCTCAAGAGCAGGTGCAGGGATCAGCAGAACCCGGGGCTCTGTCTTGGACTGTGCTCCAAATCCCCAGCCCTCTCCCTGCTTTCGGCTCCCCGGTCTCCAAGCAGGATCTTCTGGATCCACAGCACACCCCAAACATGCAAATTCAATTGTGCCTTTGCTCTAGTGTCTGCCCCAGGATAAACTCCAACTCTTCTGAACCCACAGCCCCAAATCCCTTTAACCAACAGCTAGGTCCCCTAACCCAGCTCCTAACAGCCCCTCTCCAAAGTGGTCCCCAAGAACCTCTGACTATCCTAAACCCCAGGATCCCCAGCCATGACCTCCACTATCTAGTGGACTCTGCTAGTTCCCACCTGTGCACCCAAACTCAAGGACCCTGGCCCCCATACCCCAAGTCATCCCCTCACCAATCCTGGGTCCCAACCATCCCTCTTCTCCTTGTCACCCCAAACCCGTGAATCCCCAGGCCGCCACCCTATACCACTCCTGTCTGATTCTCTCTGGCACCCACTATCCCTTCCTCCTCCACCTGTCACCCAAACTCTTAAACTCCATGAATCCCAGGCCCCAAAACCTACTGCACCCCACCTGACTCTCAGATTCCCAGTACCCCAGCATCATACCTGAAATTCTCTCCCACTCCTATCCCCATCTTCTCTGCCTGCCATCCAGGTTCCCATTTCACCAACAGACTCAGCTCCCAGCCTCTAATACCAGACGCCTGACTTTCTGAATATCCTAAATGCCCCATCCTGTGCCCCTAATCTCTGAACCCCCAGTGACTGTATTACCCCACCTTTGATCCTCCATCACCCCTAAGCTCACGCCCTGACCTCCGACCCCCCACATCCATGGCCTCCCAATCTCTGACACCGCTGACCCACGGCGAGCGCAGTACCACACTCCTGACTGCCTCTGCACCCCACCCCAGGCCCTGACTTCCGACCCTACCCCCA